CCTCTGCCTCCGGGGCGGAGGACGTGACAGGCGGGTTGAGGAGAACCTCGAAGTATTCCTTCCACCGCCCGACAATATCCCCAGTCGAGGTCAGCAGCTCTCCACCCCCACCATAAACGGTGTTGGCAAAGCACTGCTTCCCCCTCCTGAGGCGCCGGGCGGTTTGCCAGAATCTCTTCGAGGCCGACCGATAGTCATGCTCCATGGACTCTCCAAACTTCTCCCAGACCCGGGTTTTTGCCTCTGCAACAGCCCGGGCCACAGCACGCTTGGCCTGCCGGTACTGGACAGCTGCCTCAGGAGTCCCCCGAACCATCATGGCTTGATAGGTCTCCTTCTTCAGCCTGACAGCCACCACCGGGTTCGGGGGTTGCCGCCGGGACCAGCACCAGAGACCTTGCGACCACAGCTACGAGCCGCCGCATCGGCGATAGAGGAAGAGAACATGGTCCACTCAGACTCAATATCCTCCTCCTCCGCCGGGACCTGGGAGAAGCTCTCTCGAAGGTGCGAGTTGAAAATCCGTCTGACAGGGGGCTCAGCGAGACGTTCCCAGCAGACCCTCACTATACGCTTGGGTCTGCCAGGTCTGACCGGCTTCTTCCCCTGCCAGCGGATCCAACTGACGACCAGGTGATGATCGGTTGACAGCTCCGCCCCTCTCTTTACCCGAGTGTCCGAGACACGCGGTCGAAGGTCAGATGATACGACAACAAAGTCGATCATCGACCTCCGGCCTGGGGTGTCCTGGTGCCACATGCACTGGTGGACACCCTTGTGCTGGAACATGGTGTTCATGGACAAACCGTGACTGGCACAGAAGTCCAACAACTGAACACCGCTCGGGTTCAGATCAGCGGGGCCGTTCTTCCCGATCACCCCTCTCCAAGTGTCACTGGCATTTCCCACATGGGCGTTGAAGTCCCCCAGGAGAATAACGGAGTCCCCGGTTGGTGCACCGTCCAGTACCCCTCCCAAGGACTCCAAGAAGGCCGGGTACTCTGCACTGCTGTTAGGCCCGTAGGCCGTCACAACAGTGAGAGACTTGTCCCCCACCCGAAGGTGGAGGGACGCGGCCCTCTCATTCACCGGGGAGAACTACAACACGTGGCGGCTGAGATGGGGGGCAATTAATATGGCCACCCCAGCTCGCCGCCTCTCCCCGCGAGAAACACCAGAAAAGTGGAGCGTCCAACCCCTCTCAAGGAGTTGGGTTCCAGAGCCCAAGCTGTGTGTGGAGGTGAGGCCGACTATCTCTAGTCGGTATCGCTCGACCTCCTCCATGAGCTCGGGCTCCTTCCCCCCCAGTGAGGTGACATTCCACGTCCCAAGAGCGTGGAGAGAGTTGTGCCAACTGAACACACAAAATAAACTTCAGTCCACTTTTATGGCCTGTGGCCTGAGAAGGATGTTGTAGAGAACGTGGTTGTACTGCTGGGGTGTCGTGTTGAAAAGTCCCACTGCCCACTACTGGACAGGCGCTAGAACTACATTGTTTTCTGTCATTGTGTAGACACTCAGCACTTAACAAAGCACATAATTGTTTATATACACAAAGTAAACCAAAGAAAATGAATTAACAATTTACAGTGTGAATTGTAAACATAACACATTATGATAAACATAGTTCAAAAGTCACAATCTTAATTAAGTGCACTTTAAATAAAGATGTGGCTACGTACTAAATATCAATCGAATCAAAAGTTGCGCAACAAATTCAAATACTAATCAAAAATCTCATTCATGATCGTCATCATGGAGTCAATGCAAAACAGTCATGGCCATCAAAGGTTTACACGCCAAAACCATTCATTCTAATTATGTCCAGGACAAATGACCAAACATAAGGTGTCCTTAACTTATTAAAGGCCTGGTGGTTGGTCACATGGTTTCATATTATGGGTTACAATGGGAGTTCCCCAACCTGTCTGAGCTGTGGCACATCTTTTTCATTGAAAACAATCACATGACACCAGCTGAAACTTATACAAACATGAAACTCTCATTCTCATCGTTCTCCAGGTTTTTATATAGAACAAAAGCCAAGGCAAAGGCATTTTAAATTTAAAAAGCACGATTCATGCAGAAGCAACAAGCACAAGTCTTTCTCACATTATCTTCTTCTCATATTGTTTTGTCCAATAGGTGATATTGGATCATTTCCAATGAACCCCAAACACTAACGTGCCACAGCCCACTGGTTGAAAAACACTGCACTCTTCAATTCCATGAAAACATCTCTGTGGCTTTGAACTGAGAATAATGGTTTGATGACATGTTTCTCTGTGGTCTCAGACATTCTCTAATGATTATGTTATTGTTGAATATTATGCGAGTCACAGTCATCGCCCTATGTTTGAGTTCAAAAGCAGTAAATGCCCTGGTTTCAGAGAACAATAATTTAGTAGTAGTTCTTTCTCAATATGTATTTATTAAGGTTAAATGTGTTTTATTTAGGTTTAAATGTATTTTATTTAAGTTTAAATGTATTTAGTGAGATTAAGTGAGAGTAAAACATGAAAACATACAGTGACAGCATTAATTTTTGATTTTTATTATTTTGACAAAATACATATTTTATCTTTGTGTGTAAATGCACACTTTTTGTTCTTTCTTTTTTATTTACAAATACACTTGCCCTTATCTTTGTTTTCTACGGCAGACCACCACAGCCAATGAACCCACCATGACTATATTAATCATTATGACTATTATTTCTAATAAACACTTTTGAGCTTGTTGTATATTTGTCTTCTAATTTATCTGACTCAAAATGGTATTTCAATCAAGTCATGCATCTGTAAGTATTGAATGCTCAAAAGCTTCAGTGATGTAAAAACAACAACAACAACAACAACAAAAACAACAAAACCCTCCCAAGTTGTACATAGCGTGCAACTGTTCATAAATGCAATGAGGTAGAATATAAATACATCCATGGGTAGAACGTATAACAAATGAAACATGTGGAAATGCTGCCACCTTCTGGACATAGAACTTACAACATGTGCTGCCACTTGTGATGGTGGTGGTGGAGTACGGGGTGGCATTTCTCTTTCGGGGAATCTTCCTCTGTAGGCGGCGCCATAAACACAGTATAATCCATGTTTCTACCTTCAGGACAAGAGCTTGGGACTGACATACTACACAGTATCTCTGTATCACACACATACACATACACACAGATGGTTCTCAAATAGTTAAACATCAACTTCAAAAAAAGAAAAAAAAATCCTGCAACACTGTGGAACAAATACGGATCACCAATAAGAGCTTATGTTGTTTATTTGCACGTGTTGTTTTGTGAGGCTCTATAGATCAACACTACAGACAAATACATGGATTTTTCTTTTCTCTCTCTCTCTCTCTCTGTCTCTGCTGCTCCTTTAACGCGGGGACACCTGCTCTTTCGCGTCAGCATCATCCGGAGGCGGCGCGATGGAGAACAACCCAGGAGAGGAGAGAATGTGAGGGGGAAACCACCACTGACCAGAGCAGACCAGTGCGCTCTAAGGTAGGCAACCGATACTCCCTCTTATATATATTTGTACACACACTGAGTTCATTTAATATGGCCCAGTAGGAGGCGACGTTCTTGCTGTGCGCCTAATTATGTCTCTTCTGTGGTTGGTGTCTGTCAAGATCACACGGACTCAAAATGCAAGACTAAACAAGCAGTGGTTTACATGAGAATTGGCAAATCTGATGCTATTCCATCTCTGCAGTAGGCTATATATATATGGAATACTGTCCTTAAATGTAGTATTGATAGAAGATTAAAGGACCTTCATTAGTCCCACACATATTCGGCATATAGTTGTGTTTCCCCTCCTCCTATACCTACTCATTCTGACCCACTTGTCTCAGACTTGTGTGTGAGGGAAAATAAAGCAGTCCATTGTTGTTGACCTGTGCCCTCATTACAGTCATCACATTCAGCCACACACTCCATTCTTCATGCTCTGGCCGTCCCCACACATAAAGTGCCGTCCGAGCTTTATTAGCAAACAAACATGTCCTTTTACTTACACGCTAATCTTTGACAAAGTATGGGATGAGAGACTGCCTGTTTCCATGGTACCGGTGACCTTGTTTCCATAGCAACATACATCAGCAACAGTATGCAGGCTGCTTTAATAGAAACCTCTTACTACTGTTGACATTGTTTCAGCGGGGTGTGCAGGGTCCGCAGCATGAAACAGCTCCGATAAATTCAAAACATGTCAAAACAATACGGATGTGATAATTTACGCGTACATGTGTCTCCACAGTGTTCGGACTGGAGGAGCTGGGAGCCCTAGCGTCAACAGGGTGCTGACGTTACCATGGGTGTGTACCTCTGTTTGTGTGTGAACCATGAGGTGATGTGGCTGTTGTGGCATATGTATTAAATGAGAGTGTGCTTGTTAATCAACAACCAGGAATAGGTGACTGTACTGCTTTATTATACCTTTGTGGCAAGAGGGTAATCACACATCTGCATGAGAATATACTACATGAGAATATATATAAACATGTGAATATACTACATTGGAATATACCTCGGCATGAGGTGGCCTGAGTCAGGACTAAACATGGGGAGGCAGCATTTCAGATTTATGCAGCTAAAATCTGAAAATGTGAGACTGGCTTCTTCTCTGACAATGTTCAAAAAAAGTTCTGTTTAGCTGTGCATACAACTGAGGGATTTATCTTTACTCTTTTTACGGTACTGTGCTTATTCAATGCCTTGTGTGATTGTTTCTATTGTGTTTTGTTCATCACTTTGCTTTGTCTTTTGGCATGCAAATAAACTTGCCTTGCCATGACGATCAACTGCATGAGAATACACATCTACATCTAGGAATATACTGTAAAAATAAAAAAATCATTTAAATTGGCCTTATATGATTCTTTACTGTTTCAGACATCCCTGAATCTGGTGTAGAGGAGAATGACAGAAGACATCGCATCCTCCCAGAGACTCGCACAGATTTGTATCCTCACTTTGAATGAGATCCATGATGTCCTTCTGTAACGACAGCCTGCCCGAGGACTGTGTCTTCATGGACCCGGGCAGCCCCCTGGTCCCAGACGACGTCACGCCCTCGTCCGAACCTGGTACACCTCTCATATCCGTGACTCTTCGGGTGACTCTGGCGGCCATTATGATCTTTATGATTACCATCGGTTTCCTTGGCAACGCTGTAGTGTGCCTGATCGTCTACCAGAAACCTGCCATGCGCTCGGCCATCAACCTGCTCCTGGCCACGTTGGCGTTCTCTGACATCATGTTGTCCCTGCTGTGCATGCCATTCACAGCCGTCACTGTGGCCACCTCGGACTGGACCTTCGGGAGCACCTTCTGCCGCGCCTCCATCATGCTATACTGGCTGTTCGTGCTGGAGGGAGTGTCCATACTTCTCATCATCAGCGTGGATCGGTTCCTTATCATAGTGCAACGCCAGGACAAGCTAACCCCATACAGAGCCAAAGTCCTCATCGCCGGCTCCTGGATGCTCAGCTTGTGTATATCTCTACCATCAGTGGTGGGATGGAGGACAAGTGTGGCTGGGATTGGGAGCACCTGGGCGCCCCAGTGTGTGCTAGGCTACAGCGAGTCCCTTGCAGACCGCGGCTACACTATCCTCTTAGCTGTTGCGGTGTTCTTTGTGCCATTTACGGTCATGCTCTACGCGTACATGTGTATTCTCAACACGGTGCGACACAACACTCTTCGCATTCACAACCACACCAACGAGCATTCCTGCCTGCCAGCTCTAAACCAAATCAGCAAAATGAGGATTTGTGGGTTGCAGCATCCCCCTCAGATTAAAGTGGACATGAGTTTTAAGACGAGAGCGTTCACGACGATTCTCATCTTGTTTCTGGGCTTCTCCGTGTGCTGGCTGCCTCACACTATCGTCAGTTTGCTGGGGGTCTTCAGCCGTCGTTTCTATTACAGCTCTGTGTTCTATCCCGTCAGTATTGGAGCTCTGTGGCTCAGTTACCTCAAGACGGTGTTCAACCCCATCATCTACTGCTGGAGGATCCGCAAGTTCAGGGAGGCCGTTCAAGAGTTTATCCCCAAAAGCTGCCGGTTGTGTCCGAGAGTTCCGGGCCGGAGTCATAGGAGAGTGAGACCCAGTAATATCTATGTCTGCAGCGAAAGCCAGTCTTCTGTGTGAGCTGTTTTTTACTTTGCAACCAGGAACTAATCAGGAACCAACCAGGAACCGAAAGAGTAGCATTCACATAGCAATTATAAAAGTTACTTTCATTTGTGGTTTTTTTTATTCAACAACAATATAAGTCTGATACTACCAGATCTCCCAGAGCTGTCATTTTGACTGCTCCAATTAAGGGTTCGGGTTTGGGTTAATATCCCTCTCTGTTATTATTATAAATCCAATTCAAACTGAAGGAATACAGGCAAATGCCACCCAAAAATGATTGAAAGGCCACCAAATGCTAATAAAGTAAACAATGTGTTGCTATGGTAACCATGGTTAGCTCTCTGGTGGAAAACCAAGCTAAACCAGTCCAGAACCCATCCATCCGTTTTTGTATTTTGTATTTTTGTATTTTTTATTTATTATGAACCTGCACAATATATATTTGACATATATCAATATACCAGACAAATAAGTTGTACCTGGTTCAAAAAGGTACAAGTTATTTGTTTATTTGTCCAATTCTTGGACAGGGGGTGTCAATCAGCTTCACAGAGCACCAGCCCCTCAGTGATCCTCCTGCAGGTGCTGAGTCCGCTGGGGCTTCAGGCAAAGTGGGGTTACGTGTCTTGCCCAAAGACGCAACGACAGCAGACATCCGTGGGAGTCGGTGAAGAAAGTCTCGTGGTGGGCTCGAACCCATGACCTTCAGGCTCTACCAACTGAGCCACTGTTGCCCCAGCCAGTATAGAAGCAGTCCAGAACTCATATTTCTACTCATATTTCAGAAATAGTAGATCATTTATGAATGTAATACAAAAAAATGGGAAAATTGCAAACTACAAATAGACACAAAAAATGTCACAATGTCAGAATGACCAACTACTTTCATGAGCAGAATAATTTAACTTACAAAACTAAAAGCCATCAATTTGACTGCTCTGGGACTTCTTGTGCTAAAGTATGTAGAACTATGTTTGAATGTGTATCATACAGGTGGGAGTTTTCTGTGTGGTAAATATCAGCACATGAGCAGTCTAAAAGGCCAAGCTCCAAAGATGCTGAGAATATTGAAATTATGAAGAATATGTTTTTACGTCTTTTTAACCACTATTTCATGTCTAAGTAAAAAAAATACAAGACGGTTTCTTACTCTGTGCCAGTCCGATTTTGATCTTTCTGTGTGTCCTGATTTTAACAATAAATATTTAAAATTGTACAGCGTTATTTTGTTTTTATTTATTTTTAACATACTTTGCAAACACACAGACGCCCCATGAATCTTCCAAAAGAATATACACGATACACATGCACGAAACAGACACATGATGGCGCTCTTGCCTTTGCACACGGACTCTTTGCGTCTAATATTTAGTCTGTGGTCTGTACAAAGATTCACGCTTTTGCTTGAGTGAAATGTTAAACAATTTCAGCACTGCATACTATCAAATGATCATGGATAGGCTCATGTGATCAGTGTTGCTCTGGAGGGTCCATTTTATAAGGCAAACAGAGTGGATCCCAGCGACTACAGTGAACTGAGTGTATGTCAGAGTCTGTGATTTTCTTTGTAGATGTTCTTACTCTGTTCAATTGTTTTGAAAAAAAAAAAAAAAGTCAATAAAATATTGATTTGAGGAGTTTTTAATTTTACAGTAGAAAATAGGGCTATATGATTGCTACACACAGTAATCTATCTGCAAGCTGATGTGTAATAATATTTCTCAGCTGTATGGTTCTAGACTGACAGTGAGAGCAGTTTTCGATCTGACCCATGCTTTGTTCACGTTTGTTTTGTTTTGACGCGGAGCATGTCGGGAAATTAAACATGGCGACCTCCGCGGGACAAGACGGAACATCTAACTCCAGTTCAGATGTAGATAATCTACTGCACCCTGAGCTTTTGTCTGAAGGATTTCTCAAACTAATATTAAAAGAGGCAAGTATTGACACCATGTTTTCTCCGGAGCCACATGTGTTCCTTCTGATCGCAGCCTCTCACAGCCTCCTGTCCCCCGCAGAGAGAAGTGAAGATACCCGCCTGTCTGAGTCGGGACGAGCTCACGGAGCTTTACCTCCGTCATGTGATGCCCTTACCGCAGAGACCGCTGCCCTCCACCCGCTGGGGCCGGAGTGTGTCCCGGGACCGAGACTCGCACCCTCCGCCCTCATCCGCGCGCAAGTCAGGCTACCCTCATGGGCTTTCACCTGTCACTATAGGTCACTATAGGTCACTATAGATCACTATAAGTCACTATAGATCACGATAAGTCACTATAGATCACTATAGGTCACTATAGGTCACTATAGGTCACTCTAGATCACTATAAGTCACTATAGGTCACTATAGGTCACTATAGATCACTATAGATCACTATAGGTCACTATAGGTCACTCTAGATCACTATAAGTCACTATAGGTCACTATAGATCACTATAGATCACTATAGGTCACTATAGGTCACTCTAGATCACTATAAGTCACTATAGATCACGATAAGTCACTATAGATCACGATAAGTCACTATAGATCACTGTAGGTCACTATAGGTCACTATAGGTCACTATAAGTCACTGTAGGTCACTGTAGGTCACTATAGATCACTATAGATCACTATAGGTCACTATAGATCACTATAGGTCACTATAGGTCACTCTAGATCACTATAAGTCACTATAGGTCACTATAGATCACTATAGATCACTATAGGTCACTATAGGTCACTCTAGATCACTATAAGTCACTATAGGTCACTATAGATCACTATAGGTCACTATAGGTCACTCTAGATCACTATAAGTCACTATAGATCACGATAAGTCACTATAGATAAGTCACTATAGGTCACTATAGGTCACTATAGGTCACTATAAGTCACTGTAGGTCACTATAGGTCACTATAGGTCACTATAAGTCACTGTAGGTCACTGTAGGTCACTGTAGGTCACTATAGGTCACTATAGATCACTATAGGTCACTATAGGTCACTATAGGTCACTATTGGCCACTATAGGTCACTATTGGTCACTATAGATCACTATAGGTCACTATTGGTCACTATAGGTCACTATTGGTCACTATAGGACTGTATCCATGTCCAAAGGGGTTTTTGTAGTTCTAGTATTTGGCCATAATCATTTGTGAGGATATATCAGTCCACAATATGATTGTATGTTTTTAATTGGCATAGTTAAATGCTTACTCCCTTGTAATAAGGCTATAGAGAAGTATGTATTCATTCACAGACTACAGCGGCAATAGGGTAGAACTGATTAATTTCGAATTTCTTTCCAGTAGCGACTCCAACAGAAAAAGGCCATTGATAACCTTTGATGGAAGCTCCTCAAACAGCGGACCTTTAAAAGTGCGGAGACCAGAGGGAGGCAGTGTTCCATCTGGAAGCACAGACCGGTTAAAGCCTCCTCCAGGAGCAAGCATGGCCAGCCCCATACGGAAAATAACTACAGTCAAGCAACCAGCATCTACAGAGAAGGCCACTTTTACACAAGAAGCACATCATTCTGTAATATTCTTTGAATTCATGTTTATGGTTTTAATTTGCAAAGAGAATAACCTACTCTGTGGTTACCCCAGAATTTAGATTCTCCTACGGCGAAGAAAAAGATTCAGCATGTGACGTGGCCCTGATGTTCGTCCCATCTCCTACAGCCTGTTCAGGCTCATGGCCCTCAGCAGCTCGGGACATGATTCCTCGAGCTGTTTCAGTATAAAACACTTGCACACACATTGAAAGGGAATAAATGTGACTGCTCACCAAAGCCTGAGCTTGTCTGATCTTAAAGGGGTTTTTCCAAAGTCACAGAACGGCACGGTCCTCCACAGTGGAGGACTGTTGGACGAGGCTAGTGCTGTCGGAGGTGGACGTTCAGGAGAGGACAGAGCTGTTGGCGGGTTGCTGGTTGGGGAAGACCCGGCCCTGGCCTTCTGGGCCAGATTTACTTTGAGGGTGCAGGACAAGTAACTGCATTTAACATTTTGATAAATGATTATGTACGGATGATGCATCTATAAATATCACCATATATTGCTGACTACATTTATTCTAACTGCACTGATGGAAACAAACCTCTTGTGTTTGAAGTCCAGCGTCCTGCCTGTTTTGACCACTTTCAGCCATTGTTCTTGATTCCAAACAGCTCTGGGAGTGGCCATGTTTCATTTATTCCCTTTCATTTATCATGCAAATGACAAAACAGACAAAAATGAAATCTAGTTTTTCACACAGCCTCAAGTGCACTTAACATTAACCGATCGTCTTGTGGAGCCATTGCACGTTTGTGTTATCAGCAACTATTGGACATGATACTTTTAGTCTCTGTACTGGTGCTGTGTGTTGGAGAACAGAAGTATGTTCAGTTTGATTTAATAATACTTTCACTGGCAAATGAGGTTATGCTAATCACACAAATTATGAACAAAATCTTCACTAAAACCATGTATTTCCTCTCCGCCTGACATCTGAAAACGGCTGGTGCTGTCTTCATCTTTTGGCCGATCACTGCCAAAGCGCCCCCTGGAGGAACCTGGTGTAGTCATGTTTGTGAATACACGATAGTCTTGTTGTGCTTATAGTAAACTGTGTGTGTGCTGTAATATCGAAGTCATTACTCAGCCAAGGCATTTCCTGTTTGACTTATAAATGTATATTTAGGAATATGCTTTTTATTCTTGTGTACAGTCTATTGTATTTACTGTGGAATGATTTAGGCTGAAATTAGGGTTTCTTTATTTCTCATTGGTTAAATAAAATTTTTGTAAGATACATTTTGTCTTGGGCTTAATTAAACAGAAACAAGTGACAATAATTTAACTTTCTTTTTTTTAGCATGCATGAACAATACATTTGTTTTTCATACTTTTAACTGTTTCAGAAGACACAAAACAAAACCACTTTTATAGCTGTAAATATTGCACGCCTATAAATATCTCTATACGCCTCATAAGCAGTAGCTTTTACAGTTATGTCGTACAGCAAAAAAAACGTTTAAGTACATTTTCAACAGTGAGTATTCATGCAGCTTGATTAGTGACTAAAATACATTTATAGATTTATTTTAGTTTAGATAGTAGTTTAGATTTATTGTTCTATGCTCCGATTCCGTCATATTCGATTAGATGTCCTTTCCGCATTCAGGACACAAGATGTCGTCACGCTCGGTGAGGAAGCCACGGCCGACCAGGGACACAGAGCACTTCTTGCAGTTGAAGCAGTCATTGTGCCATTGTCGCTCCTCAAAAGAAATGTACTTGCTACCACCAAGCCCTAAAAGGAACATAGAGTTAAGTCGTGATCCAAATGTGTAAAGTATGGAGGCGTACGGCATTTACCACTGATGGGGGTGGTGCAGGAGGCACACTTCTTGGCATAAAGGTTGCAGAAGCAGTTGAGACAATAAGCAAAGTCATCTCTGGAGGTGAACCTCTGTCCAGATAGCTGCTGTTTGCAGCTGGTGCACAGGAAGCAGTCCTTGTGCCAGGGCTGCTCACGGTAGGTCACCCCTCCAGTGGTGATGGGCTGTAACACAAAGCATCATTCAGAGGTTCTGCCTTCAGTGGAGGAGGTCTGCAGGGCTCCTACCTTCTTGCAGTGGATACACTGCATGGCAAACTGCTTCTCATAGCACGGCACACAGTAGCTATGGTTATCCTTGGGGATGAAACTCTTGGTGCCGATTGGCTGCTGGCATCGCTGGCAGGTAAAACAAGTCTCATGCCAGCTGTTCCCTTTGTGCTCCATCTTTCTGGAGCCTGTCAATGATAATGTCAGTGAGGGAACGTTGGAAAGATAAGTTTTTCCAAAGCCTGCACGCTCTGTATTGTCTTACCAGGCATGATGGTTTTCTTGCAGTCATGGCACTTGGAGGAGTATTCATTGGAATAGCATTCAGTGCAGAGCAGCTGCTCGTCTTTGGTGGAGAAAGGCTTGTCCACCAGAGAGCGTTTGCACTGGAAGCACTTGAAGCAGTCCTCATGCCAGTGGCGGTCCTTGTAGGACAGATCCTGGAACACATCAACAGTCACAATCGTCTCCTTGTCGCCATCATGATGCCTGGTGCCATCAGTGTCTCACCCTGGAGTTGCAGCCAATGGGCTTCTTGCACTCCTCACAGGAGTTGGAGTACAGGCTCTCGTAGCATTTCACACAGTAGGGGTTCTCCTCTCTCAGGACATATTTCTTGCCAAACAGGGACTCTTTGCAGTAGTGGCAGTCGTAGCGTTCTGTCATTCTGCCTGTGAATGGTGACTTTAATCAAAGAAACCAACAAGATCATTGGACTATAGTTTGTTTGCGCTGGCAATACAATAAAATACTATATTGGTTTGGTTTGATGTATTTATGGAACATTTATGTATTTTTTGATACATATTAGATACAGTAGAGTCTTCATCCCTGCTGTTTTGTCTACTCTTTATTGTATTTTGTGTGGCAGAAGTGAAAGGTGACAGACGAGGGGTATAAATAACTCCCAGGCCTGCTTGGAGACAGTCGGTGCTCCACTGCATACCAACGCCTTCTATGCTGAGCACACTGACCCATCCGTCACCTCACCTCCAGCTGTCACTGCCTGTGTGCCTGTGTATGAGGCTGGAATGGCATTTGCAATAATGACGACTCACAAGCTGCAGCTGTTGACGGTAGGCCATCTGGTCAACCCGTCCAGGCCTCCGTACTGTACTGCTGTCCGACGCATTGTGGTATAAGCACGTGCCTTAGCTCTTAATTGGAAGCCAACTGGAAGTTATCACTCCAGAACTCGCAAGACATTACATCAATTAAATTACTCACAAACCAGAGGAACCACGACATTTGCACATGGTTCTTTTTTGTAGACAGTTGTATGTTGTAAGTTTCATTGAGAGTGGAATTATATGTGGGACATTGGTGATGCCTTTGGACTATGCTTTTCCACCCCCTCCCACATTCTTCCATTGTCTGTTGCTCTCACCATAACTCACCTAGCTTAGGACAGGGTTTATCCAGATGCTATAAATAAAAGAAGATATAAGCCACATAAAAAGCTTCCAACTGGTCGTTATACCCATCTGGGATTATGTCTGTTTGACACTGCTGGGACTTGAAATATAATATGACAGCTACAGGAACACAGTATAATAATTCAACTGCTCTTATGTAGAAGCACGGTTTGCTTTCTTTCACTGACACAGCTACACGCCAAAAACTGATCACATTACATTGTTTGAATCTAGGTTTGTTGACAGGATTTGATAAACTCTCTTTTTCATTTCATTTTAAAAGGAAGTAGCCATTTGTTTCTCAGTGAAGTGAGAATTGTCTTTTCTCTCAAAAAAAGAAAAACAACAAATTCTGGTCCCAGAAGCAGATTTACCAAAATCAAGATATATTTAACCTGATTCAAGCAACAGGCCTTTTTTTTGTTGTTGTTGCAAGATTGGCTTGTATTTTGTTAAAGGCCATACTATGTTACTAATACTAATTTAAAGAGATGATTTAAAATCATTTGATTTTATTGTTGAAAATGTGTAATCCAAAATAAAACAAATGAAAGACCACTAAATGCATGTGTACAAATGTTTTAAAGAGGTGCACGAAAGCACAAGCCTGGAATGCAGACCCTAAAGTCACTTAAACATGGATCCAACAAAATACAACTTTGAGTCAGTTACTGATGAGGAGATACTGTCATAATGATACTGTATTCCCATCAAACTGACTTTTTCAACTTAAAGACACATTGAGCAGTGAAGGAAACACTGTGAGGGCAGGGTGGAGGTGAACGTGGTGAGGAACAAAGCAGTGAAATGATGGAACACACAGACATGGGGTTTGGAAGTTGCAGTTTATTGCTCAAACAGGGATAAAGAATGTGGGATTAAGGTGTAGAAACACACTGTCGACAGTGCGTTCCGCAGATGAGTGGAAAAGGCAGAAGATGAGGGGGGTAGATGGAGAGTCTTACCTTTGGTCCAAGGAGAAGTGTCTGTGTGGAGTCTGGGCAGACTGAGCTGCAATCCTCCTGTCAGCTCTACTTACTCCTGATTGCATTACTCCACCCATCAGGGACTAATTGAAAAAATGGGAGGGGTTCCGAAGGGAGTAGTATGAGGGGAAGGGTTTTTTAGAAATGTCTATAAATACAGCAGTGCTTCTCAGAGATAACACCAGGCCCCCCAGTTCAACCAGTCCCATCAGGCCAGTGGCCTTTTAAGGTCAGACCTTCATGCACTGGAGCAGCAGCAGTTTATTCAATAGATAAGTTGTAAAAGATCGTTTCACCTTTTCCATATTGTCATTGTATCATGTACATGGCACTATGTCGTTATGCTTCATACTTTGACAAAGGATGACAGGTCATATGTGAGAGTGTATTTCCCAGAGAGAATAGCCCCATCTCTGGTGTCACGCCTGTCCTCACCTCTCTGTATTCCTGCTCACTGGGGACTCCACTTCAGTCCCCCTGCTGCTATGTGTTGGTGATAGTATCCAGGCCCAGTAATGACTCTTTGGGTTCTAAGAAATCTTGCACTATTTTCTGAATCCTCTGGTCTTGTTCACACTGTTACCCCCTGGTTTCTGAGGCTGGCTTTCCTGACCTGGAGCTCTCTGAGCACTTTCTAAAGAACCGAGGCGTCATCAGCTTCTACTTGTGTAGTGTCCTTGTGTTCCACTCACTAACATCACGGAGCAGCAGTTTCACAGAGAAAGAAAACATCAATAGTTTTGTGTTCATTTTCTATCACTCACTACACATTTTCTCCAATCAGCTGTTGAGAAATTCATATTTGGCCTTTTATATTTTGGTTACATGTTTTCCAGCCACAGTTCTAGTGGGAACACATAATGGGTTGGCATCCTTTTACCATAAGAAACATTAAGATTTAATCTTTGTAAATTGCTCCTTAGTCGGTTTAATTTGGAGCTTGTGCTTTAATTATCATCATATGAGAATGTCCTCTGTGTGCGGCCTAGCCTCTGAAACATGTTCCTGTAACATTTGCCAGTGTTCTGTCTTCAGCCGGTCACAGCCTGTCCCTCTCCTGCACCTACAACATGGATCTGGGCTCCACTGTGGGCCAGGGGATAAACCGCAGCTGTTTGCCCACAAGAGCGCTTAACCATGTGCTTAACCATGTGCTTACCTTTGATGCAACTGTAGCTTTATGGAAAGGTCAAAGCATAAAGACTGGTCAGCTCGGATCCTCCATTCATAATTAGTTCACCGTTAATCATTTATCCGACACAACAAATGCAAGTGGAATCTGGGCCACGCAGATCCTTGGGAAGATGGCCGTGCTCTGCCGTCAGCCTGAGGAAACAGATCCTGCAAGCGGCTTTGTGGCGCATGCACAGGCCTAATGAAGGTCTCCAATGGATCATTAGACTGATGAATAGAGACAGAATGATTTAGGATCCCATGGACAATCATTATCACAATATAATTTTTACATGAACAATTTCTTATGTTGCTCAATCCAAAACATACAATATCAACAGATGAAGACAGTTAGCGGTTATATCACATTAGCGTTACATGGAATTTTATTGAACTGGGACTCCTCGAATCATTGCACAAGTGTGTGTCCTATGTTCTGATTAACATTATTTTTTTCTTTTGAATTCAATATTCAAACTTTTGCACAATTACTTTTTAAGCAGAATTTTACATTTCCGCTGGTGTAATCTAATTGCAGCTGAAATGTGTGTGGTGTAGAAATGGAGGAGCAACATGGGGTTTGTGTTTCCTTCAACGGGCCAATCAAAAGATGAGAAAGAATTAGATGAATCTGATAAAGAAAAGATAAACTTAATTCGTCCCACAGACGAGGGAATGTCAGTCTTGCTGCACACACTACAGTTTATGGAGCTATCAAACAAGATTAATGGGAAAAAAAACAAGACAAAAATCTGCAATAAGATCATAGCTGTATCTTGTATAAATTTATTTTTCAATATGCAGTATACTGTGTGTATTGGATATTTTCTTTTAACTATGGACCGTGTTGTATTGTGTCCTTAATAAAGATTGATAATGATAATAATTAGCTGCTAAAGAAAAGCAGCCCCATAGCATGATGCTCCCCCCACCTTATTTGTGCGCTCAGGACCAGCAGCAGAGTTTTGTTTGCAACATACATAGCATTGTGCGTTTGGGCAAAAAGTAAATTTTTGATCTCATCTGACCAAAGCACCTTCTTCCACACGATTGCTGTTTCTATGACTTCTGGCAAACTTCAAACAGGATCTTATGGCCTCCTTTAATTAATAGCTTTCTTCTTGCCACTCGTATGAGCCACTTAGGGATCTTGGTTGCCTTTCTGACCAGTGCTCTCTTTGTTCGATCTGTCAGTTTAGGTGGATAGCTGTGGCTTGGTAAGTTTGCAGTCGAGCCATACTCTTTCCATATCCAAATTATGGATTGAACAGTGCTCAGTAAGCTGTTCAAATCTTGGGAAATCTTAGTTAATGCTGCTTTAAACTTACACATATATCCCTGACCACTCTGGTGTGCTGCTTGGCCTTCATGATGCTGTTTTGTGATAAATTACGCTCCGACCACAGCTCTGAGGCCCTCACAGAACTGCTATGAGAGTAGAGGCCCTATCTACAGTAATCATTAGGGCAAGATGTGACTGATGAATATATCAGTCATTATAAATGTTTTAAAGGCTATTTAATGCACTCTGTTACTTGTATTGTTAATACAATCTCAACAAAATGTGCAAAAGTTCAAGGTGTATTAGTACTTTTATCAGCACAATGAGCAGGAACTCGAAACCCTGGACTTCCTGGATCTGAGGACTCGTCCCAGCCTGCCTGTGGAGTTGGCGGTTCAGTGACGCCCCTGGAGACGACTGCTGTTGTGATTTTGTGCTATAAAAATGTAACTGATTTGATTTGATTTGAATAACCGGTAGACAAAGTCAGTGAATTGCTTGTGTACACAATGAGGCATCATGTTATTATTATAGATTATTACATTACCTTCAAAACAACACTATTGTACATTCTTACATAATATAGTATTGTACATTATAACTACTGGTTAATGGTGCATGTACAGAGTCAGCCGTGTTCATTGCTCGTTGAACAGTCTGACAGCAGTGGGAACAAATGACTTGGCAAACCTTCCTTCAATAAAGGTCTATCATCTATCCACAGCGAGTGAATAAGGGAACAGATATCTAAACCCGTTTCAAGTCAATTGAATTTATTCCTGTATTGCCCTAAATTACAGTAATAGTTATCTCTGACGACATTACAAAGCTGTCAAATTGCCAACACAGATCAGAAAATCAAACAGCTCAAACATAAACAATGCACTGATAAAAACCACAGAGCCATTGATCCATCAGGAGTATATATGACAAATAGGGGTGGGAACCTAAGGGTACCTCACGATACGATACGATACGATACGCAATACAAAGCTCACAATAACGATTGTATCACGATAACGATTATATCACGATAACGATTATCTCAAGATAACGATTATTGATATATTGGTCAGCAATATACCATATGCTAATATATGGCATACATAACATAGAAAAATGTTAAGTAAAAAAATACACTTTATTTCCTGATAAATGGAATGGAGGTGTGTAATGTAGCCATTTATTAAGTATTGATACTAATGTAAATAAATTGATACATGGCAAATGCATATTGATAATTGATCGCGGGAGAAAGTATTGCGATATATCGAAAGATCGATATATCGTCACACTCCTATTGACAAATGTCCATAATGTTATAAAGTTTATAAATGTCATTGAATGTGGAGTGTCCTGGATCATCACTGTCAGCTTGAAAGCTTTTGTAAAAATAAACATATTTGAAGTGCATCCTCGCAGCTGTGCTTGTGCTATATGTGCCTGCACTGTATTTGTGTGTTTAGAAAGTCCTGAAAAGCTCTTGTGTGACTGAGGCTGTTTTCTACATGCCTCAATGATGCAATAAGCTGTATGTACAGTCCTCGCTCCCACAGGGCCCTGTTTATGTGACTTTATTAGCTTACAGAGCAGCTCAGCCTCTAAACGTATTAATGCATTTACGCACTAATGTTGCTAATGTGTGTATCCTGCGGTTTGCACTGGAACCGCCCGAGTCTCTTCTAAAATAACAGCTAAAGCTAACAGAGTATAGAGCATCATATTCACTTTCTATCATGTCAATGTGGTTCTGCTGCAGCCTCTGATGTGGGCTAAATCTGACACAGCAAATCCTTGATCTTTGAGCCCGGTGTTGAGTTCCCAGGCTGCTAAACCTTCAAAGATGAGATGTTCCACCACTTTATTTAGACCGACTTTTTTCTACGTTCATACCATAGCTTTGCCTTTGTTCATACCACATACAATAACCATACCGATCATTTACAATAGACGATGCCAGCTGGGAGGGACTCCAGATTTAAACGTTAGCATTGGTACATAATCTACATCAGTGGTTCTCAACTGGTGGGCCGGGTCCCAATTGGCTCATGGAATAATTTCTAGTGGCTCAAGAGTCTTTATTGATATGTGCAGATATATTTTACTCAAAATAAGAAAAAGTCAAATCTAAATCCACTGAAAATGAGATAAAAGTCAATTGTATCCATTTAAAATAATATATATTTTCTTGATTCCACCACAGTTACTTTTCTATTCATAATTTTAGCTTTGTAGTGTCATTCAGAATATAAACATACATTGTGCATTTTTTATGCATTTATTTTATCATCAAATTTATGTTGCACAAAATAATATTTAACTAATATATAACTAACACAAAAAATAAAAGCTACACACGGCAATGAGTTCCAGGCTCATAATTGGGCAAGAGATGTCAGCCATATTGCTGAGAATAGAGAGAGATTATTATAGAGAATAGAGAGAGAATCATGCAATAGAGAGAGAATATGGCAGAGAAAAGAGAGAGAATATTGCAGAGAAAAGAGAGAATATTGCAGAGAAAAGAGAGAGAATATTGCAGAAAACGATGCATTTGGAAAAACGTGGAGCTGGACACATCTCACGGGTGGTTCTTGTGGATCTAACTCGTGGTCCTGTTTAGGAGCGGCTCATCTGACCTCACTTATCTAAATAAGTCTCTGTCTGTCTGCAGGACAAGGACAGCTGACAGCTCTAGGGCTCTCCACCAAACGCCCATGTGGCAAAACCAACATTCATTCAAATCTGGGATAGTCCATGTGGCACAGAGGACAGCTGTGTGCTTGGAACCAGACTAGAAACATTTTACTACACGGTGCAGACCGGACATAAACAGTAATTGATGTTTTCTCTTTGTCTGAAGTTTTCCAGTTTTAAATCTGTTATTGCTTCATTGTTTTACTTGAGATTTTTTTGTATACATTTAGTTTTTGCTAGAATGGCCTTTCAACTGTTTGCCTTTGGGTGTCCTTCCACAAATTTGGCTGGAATTCAAACCCAGTGTCATCCTTGCATACAGCAGAAAAAAAGGAGAAATAAGAACATTCAGGTTATAATTGCACTTGGGTCAAAGATGATTACAGTCATGAAGTTTCACGTTCACAGATGGTTAATATTGTACTTTGGCAGCAGAGAATATGACCAGAAAATAAGGTACAGTGACTGGTGACAGTTCAAAATGTGAATGGAATTGACATCAGGGCTTTCCAATGGTCACTCTAGAACCTTTGTCAAACACAGGCCCGTGGGACTATTTTCAATTCTTATGACTGACTTTCAGTGTTGATGGTAAGAGGTATGGAGTAGGATTACTATGGCAACAACACACCATCACTAGGATAAAACTAATCTGTTGTACATAATTTTAAAGTTTATTTACTTTACATCCTGTTTTGTTTTAGTTCGATCAAACAGTGTCACTCTGAACTAATCTACATGTTTTAGGGGTTGAGGAAACCGCAGCACCCAGAGGAAACCTACACCAGTGACGTGCGGTGAGGTTCATGGTGGGGGAGGACAAGTCTGAGAGCATGACACCGCCGCACAGATGACGTCCAATCCAGTGGGGGCAGGTCCCGGCTCAAAAGTGGCCAAAATGACGTGCACTGACATGCTTGCAATACCACCCCGGGATGATGGGGGTGGACCCGGGATAAGAATTAGCCAATGCTATCATTTAGCATC